AGGAAAAATCACCAGTTTTCCAAAATACCACCCATATCCAGGGACCCATGAAAAACCATGGGTGATTTTTGCCAGGGTCCCTACCTGGCTGGACAACAGGTGATTATTTGCTGGGATGAGGTTATGGAGAGGAAGATTTCCAGCCCAATGGGCAAGCTGTCAAGGTTACTGCTAGTGCGTTATCGCAGAGGCCCAGATTCGTATACTCCGTGAAACAGCCATTCACACAGGGAACGCCTCCGTGGCGCAATTGGCTAGCGCGTTCGGCTGTTAACCGAAAGGTTGGTGGTTCGAGCCCACCCGGGGGCGCATATTTTTCAATCCGTTTTGTATTTTTTTTTTTCTTTTCATAACGAATGAGATTACTGTGCTAGAAAATTAAGAACACCGGAAAAAATTTATTGTGAACAGTTATTTGTTGTGTGCGTTCACCTCTACGGAGATTCAAATTGTAATTCCAGAAATTTTCAAATTGCTGTATTGTATGCAGATTGATTGCGTTTAATATGTCAGCAACTATTGTACTGTATTATGATACTGTAATATACTTCCTTTTGCAAATCTCTCCGGCACGTTATTACGTCTGTTTCCCTCTCTGTACAACGAAAGTCCAGGGGAGTAGCAGAAAAATTTTTTTAAAGGAAAGAATATTTTTATGGACCTAGACTGATAAATAGAAAGTGATCCCTATAGTATATATGGGCCCAGAAAATTCTAATGCGGAGAAATGTGACGTAGATGTTATTGTATGTAAAGATGGTCTATATACCTGTATTATGACCAATTTAAAATTGTAATATGGATGCTGTGGAATAACTGCTGGCAATATACATCATGAAAACATAATACAGTACTGTACTTTGGGTCCCTAAAAATGCTCTACAAAAGATGATTTACTGCCCATTAATTGACGCTTATAATATGAAGATGCTCAGTGTAAAACAGACCATACATTAAATCGTCAAGGAATTTCGACGTACCTTATTGATTAATATGATTTTGGATGCTCTTTACCAGGGTTGTCCCATTTCTGATTGACCTTGGGTATTTCTAGACTGGGTACCGATTTGAAAAGTATACTGTATATGGTTTAGCCCATCCTATTTTCAGGTTCTGTAATTTTTTGAGATAAAAAAAATTAGTGCAAGTCAATAAGTGGAAATAACCTGCCAGTTTTGGCAAACATTTCCATCCAAGTCAAAAGCTGCTGAAAATATTCCATGCTTCACAAAAAATTGAAATATTTTTTCCAGAACAATATTTACTGAAATTTCTGTGATTTTCAAAATTTTTAAATTATTATTTTGTTTGCCACGAATAAAAACCGAAGTACATTTTGCATTTTTTCCAAAATTAATTTTTAATGTCCAATTATGTTTATTTTTCGCTTTAAAAAAGCATCCAAACCCCCCTTTTTTTTATCCGTTTCTTTTTACTGTGGGAGTTTAGGAGACTACTTTTCATGTTTTTCTGCCTTGTGGTCTGAATAAGGCAAGATAACCATCAGACATTAGTCTAAGCCATGTTAGATGCTGTCCATTTTTTTTGTGGCTGCAGTTGTCTCTCTGTTGCACAGGGTTCAACCCTGATTCAAAAAACCTTCTATGATTTTTATTCCAGGGAAGAAATGCTTCAGTTTTATATTTTTAATCAATGTTCACTTCTGTTTTTCGAAATTTCAAAGGTACTGCTGCATTCCAAATTTTGTGTCCTTCTTCCCACAAAAATTATCATTCTTGGGAAGAAAAAAAATTTTGAATGCAGCAGTACTTTTGAAATTTAAGAAAAAGGAAGTGAACAATGATTATGAATATAAAACTGAAGCATTTCTTTCCTGGAATAAAAATCATAGGAGGTTTTTTGAATCAGGGATGAACCCTGTGCAAGAGGGGGACAACTGCAGCAACAAAGGGTGGACAGCATATGTAACACTGCATATACTGAATTCTGGTTATCTTGCCTTATTCAGACCATTTATTTTGTTTTTATTCTTCCCAGTATTTTTGAAATTTCGAAAGTACTGGGAAGAACAAAAAAAAAATCGGAATGCAGCAGTACTCTTGAGACTTAAAAAACTGAATTGAACAGTGATCCAAAATTTAAAAGTGAAGCACTTTTTTCTGGAATAAAAATCATGGGAATCACTTATTGTCTTGAAGTGAATAAAAAAAACAACTATCAGAAAAAATTCCAGAACCTTAAAGTGCAATGGGCTAAATGATATATTTTTCAAATGGTTACCTAGTCTAGAAATGTCCAAGGTCAATCAGAAATGGGACAAGCCTAGTCCATGCTGTATTTTTATTGAAAAAATAACTAATTACAGTAAACTTGGTTTGAATTACTGAGTGTAAACTGCATTGAATTTTCTATCAATCAGCCAGTGGCGGCCTTAGGGTGAGGCAACAGGGGTGGCCGCCTTCCAAGTGGCCCACGCTGGGCCACTTGGAAGAATTGTTTACTCCCTTTTTTTTTTTGGTCAACCCTGTCCCATAAATCTGGCTTTGGGGTACAGAAATCAGGTGCCACAGTTTCCCTTGAGGTAATGACAGTTTGCTTGTGAGGAAGTTGAAATGATGCCTCCTCTTTCTCCATGCACATTTCCTCTCCTGGACTTCTTCTCATCCCCTCCTGTATTCTTCCAGTCCTTCATTTTCGAAGGTGATTGCTTCAACTAGGAATAAATTCAAGGCTCAGTAGGGTGAGCACCAACTCCCCTCCTCACCTCTCCCAAGAGTGACTCTGATCCCATTGGTCAACAGTTTCTCTCAAATTTTCATATTCATCCTTGTCTCTCATTCATTGAGACTTGAATCACATTGCTTTGACTTGAATCACAGCATCCATCACAAAGCCATGCCTGGCATTAACTTGTCCAATCCACATGAAATGCTCCTCCTGCTTTGATGAAGCAATGTTGGCCTAGTTTCCATAGGCAGATTTGCGTGGAGCCACTTTGATTTTTGACTTGAGATGTCACCAACAGCTCTGAGACTAATCCCCTTGTCCCCCAAGAAATTGTAAAGGTTTAGTGGCCCCAAGGGTCCTAACAATTATGCTAATTGTTTTGGGGAATAAACTTGGCCCCTAACAGCCAGGGTGGGATTCTAAGGGGGTTCCACTGTATAAGTGTGGCCTGTCTGGCTGCTTGCCGCAGAATCATTCAAAGGTACAAAAAGCAAGGACAAATTTTATGAGCAAAAATCAATCAATAAAGCATTTCAAATATGAGTACAGAAATTGGATCTGTGGGTTGGTGATGCCCATGCAACTACAGTACATGGAATCCTGGACTTGTACTCCATATAAAAGAAATATATTGTTTTTTATATACTCCGTATGTTTTTACTGATATTTTGTTTTCAATGTCAGGGAATAAAGGAATGGGCGTATGCATACATGTTGGATGTCTGGTTGTATTTTGTGGATTGTATTTTCTTTCTTTTTTTATCCATTTGTGCTCTGTTTCCTGCTCCCAAGTGATTAAATGGCTTTGAGTTGGATGGGGAGGGGGTTTGGATGTGGAAATCTTGATTGAACCTTGTGAATGCTGAAATGAAGAAAATACCTTTAAAGCATTCATAAAAATGCATTCATTCATAAAATAAAATAGAATGGATTTTTAATTATAATTTTAGAGGATAGGAGCCTAAAAACGGTGCCTAAAAGAATGCCTTAGTTTGAAATTGGTCCAATGTATTGTCCACTTGATCGAAATTCTCATGTATAACAATATGTGTGGACTTCCAAATAATTGGACAATGATTTTCTCTGTATGAGGATATTTTTGGTTCCATAAGGTTCTTCACAACAAATTTTTCTTGTCCCCAGGATTTTGTTCAAGAGAGATTCTATCTGTCTTGGTGAATTCATTTCAGATAGGAAGCATCTCCATTCAAGCAATAATTACAGTGAGACCCCAAAATATGGACATCCCAATGTGCATGTGGAGGATTCAACTTAGGTACACTTGGACATGGAAATTCTGCCCCCAACCTCCAAACAGTGGCTCTATGTAGACATTTGTCCAGGATTTCTGGAAAAATTGAATGCTCAATTTATGAATATTCTTTTATTTGAAGAAATTGAGATATTTTGCATTTGCAATTACTAAATATAAATTTCACTATGAGATTACCCAAAGTTTTGCTGTATGAAAGGTCAATTTTATGCTTTTTTCAATTTTATGTTCATCAAGTGTCTTCAGTATAGCAAGACTTATTCTTGTTCTTTGCTACTTGAGCTCTTTCTGAGGCTAAAAGGTTCATTTCTCTTAGGTTTTCTTTCGTTCAATCACTTACTGTGTCTTATGAAGTCGAGAAAAAATTAATTTATTCATGGGGGGACTGTTTCTGTAACTATCAACATGAGAACCAATTTAAAAAATTTTCATTGATTTGTATTCAAAAACGAGGCCCAAAATGTTGATGTTTCAACTTACAGACAATGTTTATGCACCAATTATGTCCAAATCTCAAGGTCCTGCAGAAATACAGTACTTTATTCCATACTAGCTGATTGTGCCCAGCCACATGGGCACTGTTTGATGAAATAAGTAAAATCCTAAAATTAAAAAATACCCAACAAATTAATGTACACTATCAACATACAATACCCAAAAGACTACCATATCCTTGCACCTACCTAACCCAACAGATTACCCTAACCTATGCTACAACCTACCCTATACCCTGCAATCTACCCTACAGCCTACACTACAACCTAACTCACCCTACCATACAAACTAACCTGCCCTACACAAAAATCTGCCCAAAAAATACCTTACTCTAGCACCCAACCTACTTGACAGATTCTAGTCCCATTCTAGTTTAGTGGCACTGCAGGAGACTGGGATCCCTTGCTTCCAACAATGCAGGACTGAATACCAAAATATTCTTGACAACTTACAGGGGTTTCATCCAAACAAACTCCAAGATCCCTGAGACTACCTAAAAATATCAGTATTCAATGAGTGACTTTCATTCAGAGAACCCATTGAAGGATCCCAACCATTTTCAGAGGATGAAACAAATGTAGCTTTGCACTAACTTTGAATGACATCAGAAAATCCATGTTATGCCAGTATTACGGCAATTAATCTTATCTACGTATCGAAATCGATTCCATAGAAATCCTCGAAAAGGCGGATTTATAATGGGACCTTCAACCGGTCGCCATTATGTCAACAATAAGTGGCCGTTATTTGCATTAGCAGTGCTGGCCATTTTTTGCTTCAACTCGGCCAGTGCACAATTAGGCAGTGAGTTGGAAATCGAAGAGAAAATTATGAATGATTTTAAATTGAATTCGATTCTAGAGAAACCAAACAAAAAAAAAAGCGATGATCTGGAAATACGAGGGTTGGTTCAATAACATCTTTGCAAACTTTTAATATTGGTCCAACGGAGTTGAAACAATTGCAAATTTTTAAACTCGCATAACGACCTCATCATTTGGCAACCCTTTACTGCTTTTCAATGCAGTCTCAGTCAATTTTAATGTATTTGTTTATGAAATAAATCCAATGACTCAGACAATGCTAAAAATAGGTAATTGGGTTGAATTCTGTGACTTCTGGATGCAATAATTTTTGTGTTGAAGAACAATTCCATTGACAAAAAATCTAACCTTTGGGAACAATAAACTTTTTAAGGGATTTTTGATTTTGAAAAAGAATTATTTACAAATATTGTGACTCAAGGATGCAATGACTTTTTGCTTTGGAAAAATATTCCGACAAAAAATCTTTGACTTCTGAGTGCAATGATGTTTTTACGGATTTGTTTGAGAAATAGGGCAATGCAAATACAATAACTCTATGACTTTTGGGTTCAATGAATTGGTTTGGTAAGAATTTATATGAAAAATGCTGATACTTCTGGGTGCAATAAAATATTTTGTGACAAGAACAATGTAATTAAATAATATATTTGAATTCTGGCTGTTCCTAATGGTGAATAATGACCTGAAAAGGATTGATGTTGAGGACAGTGACAGCCTCATTTCTGTCATTAAACAGCAGCTTTCTCAAATAAACGCAATCATAAATTTGTGGCACTGTTCTGATCATTTTGTTTGAATTAATGAAAGAAGAAATGCATTGGAATCTGCATAGGCTGCAATGAACAGCATCAAATTGTTGCCAAATGATGGGGCTATGCAAGTAATAATAAAAAATTTCAATTGCTGAAACTGCCTTCAATTTATTTCATAAATTTTCAAAACTTTATAAATTACATTACAGTAACAACTCCCTTGAAGTCAAACCTCATTTTCAAAACCAAACAAAAATTGCATCCCTGGTCGGGTCCAGGACCAAGAAAATGTTTCAAACTGCGAAAAATAACACTTTGTTCTTCAAATGGGGTTATATTTTTTTAATGCAGAAACAACTCAGTGCTGGGAGTGTGAAGGCAATGCTTGCAATCCACTGGGACGTAAACGCGCTTGCAACTTCGATTATTGCGTCGAAACCTATCATGACGACAGCAGGAGTGAGTTTTGGCTCTTGTTGAATAAAATTCTGGTTAAATGGAATTATATTTACATGGACAATTGAATGTATGGTATAAGTAACGCATCAATTTGGTAGTTTATCCGCCACCACCAGTGTTAACCTGAGGAAAATCGGCCATTAAAGCTGTCTCGAAATTCATGTCCAAAATATGCATATACAGTACAGTATTTAAATAAGTGTTCTTGTGTAAAACCTGGAAATCCCTTTCCCGTTCCTCTAGAAGCAGAATTTAGTACTCGAATTATCAACGGCTGACATTTATGTTACAATCATTTTTTTTTTCTTGAGCAATTGTTCCCCCAAAATCAAAGTCAGTGTTCCCCAACCCCTGGCAACAGGAGCTTTTTGGCAGTCTGCAGGACATTTTCTCCAACATAATGAATGTGTCAAAAGTATCAATGAAGTCTTTTCTCTGTATCTGAAATGTTATCCAGAGAATGACAGGTTATATCAGTGAAAAATAATTCTTGGCTTTCCTCCTAATAACACTGGAGACCAATTTTAAACTTGTGAAATTAATCATTTTAATTTTTCAATCTGAAAACCACTGTTGAAGCCCAACTTCACAATTTGTTTATGAAATTCAGCTTCAGCTGCTTCATTGGCACTTTGCTGATTCTTTGCACACAAAAAAAGGCAGAAACTCTCAATAAGTACCAGTCATGAAGTCATTCAAACAAGATTTTTGAGTTTGTATCATTTTGTGAAACTTCTGCCTTCCAAAGGACTTTTTGGGGAATATAGGGAGACAATTGCTGGAAAAAAAACATGAAGGGAAACAAAAATGCAATTGCTAAAAATAATTCATTACTGAGTTATGCTTCCAAAAAAAACGAGGGATTTTAGGGCTTTGTTCAACAATGATAAGAGTATTTGAATATATGCACATTTCCTACATGATTTGGAATGCAAGATTCAATGCTAAATTTTCCATAGAAATATATTTTGTTATCAGTTGGTCTTCACTCAGTAGTTTGGGATTTGGTGGTACACCTCCACTTGAAAATTTCTTAACAAGAATTTGAGATAAAAATACAGTGGTCCCTAAGTTAATGAACTTGATTGCTTCCAGATGCAAGTTGCTTAACCAAATTTAATTTTCCCAAAAACATCAATGGGGAAGAATTTAATCTGTTCTGTGAACTTAAAATATAAAAATTGAATGCATTGGAATATATTGAATGTATTGGAATATATTAAATGTTTTGGAATATATTGAATACATAGGAATATATTGAATGTTTTGGAATACAGCATATTGAATGTTTTGCAATACAGCATATTGAATGTTTTGCAATACAGCATATTGAATGTTTTGGAATACAGTATATTGAATGTTTTGCAATACAGTATATGGAATGTTTTGGAATACAGTGCATTGAATGTTTTGGAATACAGTATATTGAATGTTTTGAAATACAGTATATTGAATGTTTTGGAATACAGTACTGTATATTGAATGTTTCGGAATGCATTGAATGTTTTGGAATATATTGAATGTAGTGGAATATATCGAATCTATTGGAATTATTGTCTGTATTCATATATTGAACATACATACAGTAATATTACCCAGTAGATCCCAGACCATCAACTATAATCAGGAATAATTTTTTGCTGCATCTTATATGTGCCCAAAATGCTTTTGAATTGTATGAAAGTATAGTGCTGATGAAATTAAAGATAAAAAGTTTCACATGCAGAGAAACACACCCTGAAGGATACATATGTCATTGAAAAAGGAATATTTCTTTTTTCTAATCCTGCTAGTAATGACCAAAGAGACCTTTCTATCAATTCAACCAGTACATCAATTACAAAAACTAAGCATAAAAAATGAAATAATTCTGTCACAGGAAAGCGTATCAATAATGTAGCTCAAACACATTTTTGTTCACAACATTGGGCATAACATTCTTCCAGAATGGAAGAATGTTTGTATCAGTACATTGATGAATTATTTGCCCTTGGATTTTATCATAAATTTAAACCATAAGCCCAAATTCTTTAATCTTCTTCTTTGTGATTTTCACCTAGAAAAATGTTTTTTAACTCAGGGAATTTGGTACTTTCCTGTTATCTCAGTACCTCATTCCTAGACCACACTACCATCCAGATAAATGTTTAGGACAAGTTCATAATCACGATGACCTACCAGAAACTTTGAATTTTATTTTTCCGCATTCTGCTGAAACTGATTTTGGAAGGCGTATAGGTAAAGTTAGGTTAGGTCAGGTTATGTTAGTTGCAAATATCTTTTAACAAACATAACCTGACCTAACCTAACTTTACCTAACCGCCTTCCAAAATCAGTTTCAGCAGAAACCCAAAGAAAGTAGAAACTGATTTTGGGAGGCAGTTAGGTGAAGTCAGGTTAAATTGGTCAGAGGGAAGGTACAGAGATAACAGGAAAGTACCAGGAATTTTCCTCAAAACTAAAAGTAAGTTAACCTATAGTATTCACTACACACTGTTCTGTGAATGTTGCAGTAACCCAAGGCAAAGGAAAGCAGGACTTAGTGTTTTATTTTCTTTGATTTAAAATTCCCTCCTGCTTTTCCTGTCATTGAAATGATTCTTCCAAACAGCCCAGCTGTTGCGTCGAGGCTGTGGCAACTTTTATGGCCCGGGCTGCGTGTGGGACAATGGCGAGTACCACTGCTTCTGCATCGGCGACCTCTGCAACCGGCGCCTCGAACGCACCAATGAAATGGCGCCGCCGACCTGCTTTGACCTGATCCGCTCCTTCCTCATGGGGCCTGGCGGACTCCTGCTGATGGCCCTGCTCCTGGCTGCGATTTTGGCGGCTCTGGTCGTCCTCTTCCACTCGTGTCCAGAGCCCGAGAAGCTGAATATGCGACAGTGTCGAGAGCGGGAAGCTGCCAAGGCCAAGGCCGCCAAAAAGTCTCTGGACGATGGCGGTGGATGGGCTTTTTGCGATTGAGGGAAAAAACAAGAACCTAGAAAATTCGGACGCCCGGCGGGATTTTCATCAAACTGCAACAGTTAACCTCCTTTTGTGTGTTTGTCGGTTTATTCATCTTTTCAGTCTTGTACCCCATCCTGTTCCTAGATCAGACATGGATGATCTAGAAGTTTCATGAGGATTTATTTCTTTATTTGACTGACACTGCCAGTTTCTGAATAACTTCTCTTGGTCTTCTCACTGCTGAGAATTTAAAAACATAGCTTGAGACTCTTTCTTACAGAACATGTATGTTATGCAGGTGTTTGAAGTGCTGTGCTCTGGAACTCCTACATCTCCAGAAAAGCTTGTATTGTCAACCATCCCTTGTGAGCCTGTTCCTGTCCTAAGAAATCATTTTTACCACAGTAAAATCTCATTACAAGAAACTCCTGCAGACATCAGGAAAATTTGTGTTTACACAAAATCTTTTATATTGAGATTTTTATTTTTCAACACATTTTAGACTAAAACTTGTGGGAAATGGGCTGTAAATTCTTTGATGTGCTACCAAAACAGATCATTCAAGAAGACCTCTGATATAGTTATTACTGGTATTTATGATGGAATAAAGAGCTAACTTTTGAAAAAATGTAATAAATAGTACTTTCCTTTTATTAAACCTGCCTTTTAACTAATGTTGTGTCCTTCTTGAAAAAATGAGCCAAATTAAATTTGGTAGAAATACTGCACTTCCTTCTGAATGTACTTCTCAACTGATAGCTGTCTGCTCTTTGAAAGAATGGCAATAAGTAACATACTGTTCATTTGAAAACAAGGCATGTCAGTATAAAATGAAGCTAAAAAATCTCCAACCAATCAGTGATCTCTTGTATTTTCCCAAGTTTTCTCTGCTGAAGACATTTCCTTTTAATTAATGTGGCATGCTGTACCTTGAACAGTACTGTAATTTTTCCAAAGTTTTCTGCCATTTATCAAATAATCATTTGACCTATTTTCTAGACAAATTTGAACTTTTGTCTGGAACCAATTGTTTGTCAACCAAGGCTCCACCATAAAATGTTTTGTTAGCTGCTCATACATGACAAAAGTTATCCAACAGGCTAACTTTACAGCAGACTCACATCCAAAAACTGTAATCTGGTGTGGCTTGTACAGCCAAGGAACTGTGTACAGTATTTAAATATTTATTCAGTGAGTGGTGTCAGACATTCTGGCCGCGGCCGGAATTTTGCTGGGCTGATAGTTGTGATGCACACATACACAGAGTCTAACTAGAATTTAAGTTTAGGGTGTATTGAGCATAAGTCTCTGAAAAGAATCAGTGTGACAGCCTTGGGACAGGGGAAACCAACCATCATTCCTCAGATCCGTTGTACAGCTGAAAACTTCACTCTTTCTTCGGGATTTATGAATTCCCTGATCCTGGCAACATTATTCAGAAAAACGGTCCCTTTGGATTGAAGAATTCTCACAAAAAGTGAATAACAAATAGATTACAGAAAACCTCTCCAATTTCCTTCTGCCCGAACGAGCTACAAATTTCCTTCCAATAAGCTGTTCGCCAGGTAAGAACCTCAGCAAAAATGGAATAATCCGCCTGGCTATTGAGTATGTTCAACTTTTCTCCTTTGTCCTGGAGTGACTGAAATTGAGTGGAGTGGAACCCCAACGGATGCGTTGGCGCCGAATGGATGTTCTCAAGGCCAGTCACGAGATCCGGAGCAACCAGCACGCAAGGGAGAAATAGGTATCACTCTGTTGCCCGGAGAAGGGGCGCGCTGTTGCCTAGCTGAGAAAGAGTAATAAGATCCAACGTCGAAGGAACCGTTGAACGTACAATGGCGTCGTACATGTTGACAGAAGAGGGATGGACGCTTTTCACCGGACTTTTTTGCGCGGTCCAAGGGGCCGTTTTCGTACGGTGATGGTGAGTAACCTCCGTGATGCAGACCACTTCAGCCTGACTTTCTGGGGGAAAATGTTCTTCCTTCCCTGTGCCTGGAAGAAGTGCTGCAGTGCAATTCTGAACCTTGAAACGCGAATTACCCGTCTCCGGATTATTTTGACACACTATAAGTCAGGGCGCACTCTGATTCACGATCAACTATCAGTGTTTCAGATTCGCGTGATGAAAGCAGGTTTGAGGAATTGTCCGACGAAGTGTTCCCTTCGATTTTTCAAGAATTCAACCTCAAATGTCGTTCGAAATGTTACAACTCAAGTTCATTCTTGATAATCTCCAGCACTGCTGATGATCAAGATGAACTAAGTAAGGACTCCTCCTTACCCTCAGCCGCAACATCTACCCTTAACCGCGACAACGTTCCCACGCGCGTCCCTCTTATTGTTCCCATGATCAAGGGGAGAACTTGGAGGAGCTGGTGAGCGAGTTGGAGGATGGTCCGTGACGCGACGTTATGGTACAACTTCCACTCAAGGCAGCTCCATTCAACGCTACCTCTTCCAAGCCAGCCTCTCATTGAGTGACTTCAACTGTAATGCTTTTGTGGTGTAAAATGTAAATGGAGACTCCAAGGGACAAATAACATAGAGCACATATAAAACACCTTTTTTAAATAACTAAAAATATATGGTACTTTCCTGTTATCTCTGTACCTCATTCCTAGACCACACTACCATCCAGACAAATCTTAGGACAAATTCATAATCACAATGACCTACCAGAAACTGAATTTTATTTTTCTGCTAATAACAAGAATAAAACATTAAGAATGCTGCAAGTTCATGTATTGAATAGTATGCTATCTTCTTACACCATTCTTCAACATGTAATTCCTATCTGCAAGCATATGCAGTTCATGAAGTCACTCATTCATGGCACTGAGAGAGGGAGTGGAAGGAACAGCCCTTTAGGGGGGCAGGGTGGAAGTTGGGTTGAGTTTGAAAGTGTGCCATAATGTCCGGTCACCGGATGGTCACTCTGTTCCAAGCTTTTGACCTTTAGGGTTGTGTTTTCTACTACTGACCCTTGATACCTGACAAGTGTGTGCCGAGGAAGAATTATAGATGAGGTGTGCTTGAAGTGTGGCGTTGAAGTCTCTCCTCTGTCCTCAAAACCTTATTACTAGGTGCAATCTGAATTAATCTACCCAGAAAAATTATGGTTGGAAAGAATTGGGAGAGTCTGTTGAGCAACCGCGTCGGTTGAGTTCATTTCCATTTTTGATTTCACATGGAATCTATATAGTGAGAGCATTGAATCGGAAGAAAATTAAATGGACCGTTCACATCATCACTCCAAACCGGGGTTTTTGAGGAAATACAGTCATGTATGGCGTACCGTAATTGTGCAATTTGTTCATACACCATTCGTGCGTTTCACATAGACCACAAACGTGCTGTTGAACGACTGTAACGGGGCATCAACGCTTTGTGCAGGTTAGAAATTTTTGAAAAATGAGTGTCTGTTTTTGAATGTTTTGGGGACTAGATCAGATGTATGCCTAAATACACGGCACTCCACATGAAGTGATTCTGAAGTACATCCAATGTTCTGAACAGTTCCGTGTATTCAGGCTCGCATTTTTTATGCGGCACTGATTATACGAAATGGTGCTGGTGTCCGGTGGTGATGGTTTACATTCGGCACTTAAGTTTTTTGTACATTTAAGTTTCTGGTGGCGAACGAAGTGAAGTTGGCATCTCAAGTCAGCATGCGTATAAGTGGAAATGTAAAACTCTACTTGATTTGATTTTCCATCTCTCTCTGTTTTTTTATTCGCAGAACAAACCGTGCGTTGTCAGAAGTATACAACTCATTTTCAATCGCGCAAAAGGGACGTCGTGAGGAAAACACGCGCTTTCCACCAGTGTGTTGGTTACAATTACACTACGAAATTGTATTGCCCTGTGAGACTCTTCGAAATGTGAACTACTACCATTGCTTTTGCTTCTGGTTGTGGTGCCTGAAGTAGAATGGTTTTCTCCGTTTGTTACTGGTGGAGTCAATGGCGCACGAGTAAGTTTCCATTGCTGAACTTCTACCTTGGATGTGATCCGTATCCGCAAGTGCAGTACTGTATAGAAGAACCGTATTCATGTGAAGGTGAGACACGCATTATCTTTCGACTTCGTGGAAAGCGAAGACAGATAAAGTACTGTACTTGGGTCCATGTGCGTGGTTTAATTGAAATGTGGACGGGTGTTGACGTAATCCGAGAACTGTGACGGGCGGAAATCTGAATTAATCATCTTCGAAAAGTTGCATATAAATGCGCCGGTATTTCTGAATTATGTCTTTTCCATTAAGATCAAGCGATACAATAGCTGTGAAGGGGATTTATCTGTTCTCATGCGTTCAGAGATGTTCATTCTGAATGCTATACCGTGACTGTAAAATGGGATTGAAGAAAGCGCAAAAATGCCAAATGCTCTCTGTTCAGGCGTTGATCGCACCAGTTTTCATGAAAACGAAAATTCAGTTGGTCATGTGTTCTTGAAGCCTAGTTGACCGTCGGTGTCATCCATGTTCTTTCCCTGTGCCTCGCATGTCAGGCTGTTCATTTCGGTATGAATGGGTTTCTCATGCTCATGAAAATTCAGCTTTCCAATGTATACGTTAGCAGGAAAGGTAGCAGGAGAATTTAGGTGCGACATTCAGAATCACCCTGAATATTTTGGTAATCTGTAACTTGTCTTTGTTCCAGGATTGCCTCGCTGGGCCTCTGAGGCTCTGACCCACAGGCCTCAAGAGACAACCAGCAGAAGAAGGAATTTCCAATTGTTCCGTGACATGGCTCAAGTAGCGGTTGTCGTTTTAGTGGTTGACATCTGAAATACTGTACACCACACGCGCAGTGGAAGTTCACTCTTGTGAGTATCTTTCCGCGTTCCAACTTCTGAAGTCGAACCATTCGATAACCTGAAAGTCCTTTACTTTTTTCGGAAGGTGAGGAGAAAAAACAAATCGTGCATTTAGCTGGAGTGTCACCTGGGGTAACCTGATGGTACTGCAAGAGAAGACCAGTGCACAGAATTGAACACACACACTCAACTGGCATCCACAGAAGGCACAATCTGTAATCAGTATGATTGTCGGCTCAGTACAAAGTCAGTATGAATGTAACAGAGATTTGCACAGGTTGGTCATGGCTAATAGTTCCGGGAACTTCACTCGTTTGCGGCTATCAAGGCCAGCAATTAAGAAAAGATGAGGACACCAAAGCGCGCCTCCTGAGATTTAGGTAGGGCGCATCTATGTTGCTGATGGTGCTTACTCTCCCCCTCATAAGAAATTCGAGGGGAGTGGGTGCAGGAGTGTCAAGGCAGTTATTGCAAATGGGTTGTTCCTTCTCGAAGACGTCAATTGCAGTGAGACTGTTTTTCTTCTCCAGGTAGAGTGCTTCTTTGGCAGCAAGGAGCGGCTTGTTGTTGGACTCGATGACGTTCATGTCTGCAGAGGTGGAGGTGGAAGTTGTATTGGGAGACCGGACTGGGCTGAGATCCTGTGCTTGTTTTGGGTGTGCTAGCCCTGTCACTGGATTTGCCTATGGGTCGTGGAAAATTGTGTAGTTCTTGGTCAGTGGGGGGTAGCTGAGTAGAGCAGGAAGAAGGGGGGCATGCATATAAGCTATTATACAGGTGCGATAACTAAAGAGAATTGTTCATGTCTCTTCTTGTTACGTTGTGCAGCAGGCTTTGCATTGGTCCTTTAAGTGTTTTTTGACATCAGCAAGTTTTTGGCTGCTTCTGGGATTGGAAGGTATTTGAAATAGGCTTGCATAAGGCAATAGCCAAAGATAACATAAGTTTCTGCCATGAGTGGCTTTCTGGTCTGGAAGTGCTCAAACCTTGATTAGCCAAATTGGGAGCAGAGCCCTGTGGCAAGTGCTTCAAAGGTGAGATTGCATTATTTGTAAGAGAGTATTTGCAGCTGATGCTACTTTAGGCTGGGTCATGCTTAGGATACATGACACTCCAGCACACTTGGAGGTATTCTTGTGGCTAAATACTGTATGTTGAGCACTAGCAGCAGATAGGCATTGATCTGCCATTGAGGGAGGTCAACCATGGGCATAGGTGCTGGAACGTTGCTAGGAACCACTGGTGATGTGGAAGGCAGTGTGTTGAGAAAAACCACGTTGGCAGAGATGCCTGCGCTTGCAAGACGTCAACGTAGTCTTGTCAGGTCGTGCTGGTGCATTTAGGTAGGGCATGGCGACATATATGTCGTCGACGCTGACTGTACTCCAGTCTATAATGCACGCATAACTATCTAAAACTTCTTGAAAAATTTATACCTGCCTGTGACGCCACCCTTTTTTTCCTTCTGAAATTCAAGAAAAAAAAAGGTGCGCTTGGTGGTACGCCAGTAAACAGGGGTATTTGGGAGCTGACACTAAAACCACTCAGGACACCCTTGAACAATTATTGGTTTCCACTTTCGGTTGTTGAATTCAGTCCAGAGTAATTTTTGGCAATTGAGTTTGAAGGCTGAGCTGTTTTTGGCATGCTATGTTCGGGTTTTCCAATGATTGGTACTTCACTCAACATGTGTCACATTGGTAGGCAATCGGTAACCCAGAGTTTTTCTTTGCATGGAATTTACAGTAAAGTTGTAGAAAACCAGCGATGACACTATTAAGGTTGCACTTTTGGGGTCTTTTGGTATTGTATAGCTCGAAAGAATTTCTGCATGGCTCGGAGTCCTTGGACCTGATTTTGAGACTAATGAGACCTTTTATTATGTAATCCGAGAAGTCTCGTGGTTTTCGTTAAAAATGTTCAATGAACAATTGAAGTCAGCTGATAATCAGAATAGATGACTGAATTTTTGAAAGATTTATTTTTGAAAATTCGTTTTGGTACTCTTCAACAGCTTTTGAAAATTGGAAACCTGGATGAGTGCATTCTGCCATCTCTTCACCAGCTGGAAGTGAGCAGTTCTGGATGGCTTGCAGATTGACTGTTTGAAGAACCTCTGCAGTACTTACTGGATCACTTTTTAGGGTTCAGTTTTGTGAGTTAACAACATCTTCCTGGTTGAGTGTTCTAGCCAAGAATTGCATTGCCAGCAATTATGATGGAATTATACAAAACTCATTTCAATTCTAGGACCCTTCCTGTATGCTGTGCATTCAATTAGAGGTTATCATTCAAAGTTCATACCTTTGGAAATATAAGTATTCCAGCAAACTAATCAGGAGAAAACAAAAATGATTCCAATCCGATTTCTACCATCAAGAACAATGGAATACATTTTCAACATAGTTTCAGTTGTGTCAACACAAGTTTCTCATATGTTCACAGCTCCCTTTAAGTTTTTCTGCTTGTCCTGTGTTTGCCAGGGTCTGTTCACAAATTCTCAAATGTTGAAAAAATGGAGCATTTTGACATCACCTTGACTGAAAAAAAAACATGCAACTAGAAATGCAGGCAAAACATAACAGCCATATACATTGTTCATAGATCCAAATTGTGGGGTATGGGAATGATTGGTGCTGAAGGTTTGGAGAAGATCCTTGTTTTTGGAGCATTGTTGGTTGCAGTGTGGTTTTTAAGCAATCCAGACAATGCATTTTTGACACAAGTTAGTATGGCTGATGAGGTGTCTCCAGCCTATGATATTTTGATTTGACTGAGGGAATGCCATATGAAGTGTTTCAGGTCAGTGGTGATGAAGGGTGGTTTTGTAGGAGCTGTGGCTGGGTCTGCAAGAAGCCAATGGTCTCCAATATATGTCCATTGTTGGGTATACTGTGATATGCGCCTCCACAAGAAGTTTGAGTTCACGCACTTGTGTGTACATGTAGGAACAAATGTTATTAAACACATGTACAATGAGCGTAGCGGTGAAAAGTTTGGAACGGCAGCAAAAGTGTACTCAGCTTTGAGGGTGTATTTTGCGAAGTTAGCAGAGGTGTTCCAGTGTCCAGTCTTTGCACTGGGTGCTTCTCCTCCTGGCCATTGTGAGGGGTCTAGGACAAAGTTCAGGAAGGATCTGGCAGGGTATCCAGTGTTGCTGTTGACGTGTGAGAATGGATATCTTGTGTCAGATGAACTAACACTGGGGGCTGCAAATATCCTGCAGAAAGCCTTGGCAAAGATGTTGGAAGGTGATGTTGGTGGGATCCATGGGAAGACTGAGACATGTCCTGGGTGGTGTGCACTGCCCACTCCTTTGGGCTATTTTTCAAGATATGTGACAATTTCATACTTGTCATTTTTGTGTTTTGGTCATTTGAATCCTTGTGCACATATATGGTTTGCACGGGATCATGCGGCCGCAATATATTTTGCTGTGACAATTACAACTGGAGATGTGTTAGGGGAGACTCTTTTGTGCCGTGGGGAAGGGCAAGTGTGGAAGGATGACAGAACAGTGATGGAAGGGAGGTCTACATACATTGGACACCATTGTCTGCTTGCAGACACAGCCACAGCACTCAATCCACTAACATTTTACTGCAAAACACAATCCATCATCATTCAACAATCCTACAAAACCACCCTTCATCACTACTGACCTGATACACTTCATATGGCATTCCCTCAGTCAAATGACAAAAATCATAGGCTGGAGACACCTCATCAGCCATACTAACTTGTGTCAAAAATGCGTTGTCTGGATTGCATAAAAACCAGGAAACCTTCCAGGAACTCATGTTCCATCCTCATCTTCTCCTCAGATGCAACTCATTGTTTCACCAGGCCAGTTGCCTCATCTTCAGCTTGCTGAACATGCATCTTCAGTTCTTCAACAAGCCTCTGGTTAGTGCTCAACAACTGCTCCAACCCCAACCACTGGGGATCAATACAAGCCTGATTGTCAACCACCGGCACCAATGTATGAATCTTTGACCAACAATCTGCATCAAAACAGGAAAAATTCTCTGCAAGATCTTTGACAGCCCCTGTATGGAAACTGCACTATCCTGTCTGCTCCAACTCAACAAGCCAACTTTGGCATTGACAGGCTCCAACCCACTGACAACTGGAGACAAGCCAATGCTGAAAATGGCGCTCCCTGGTGTACTCCAACCATCATCTTCCAACTCTGCCATAGCTGCTAATTGAGGAAAAGATGCTAATCAGAAATTGTGAAATACACCTATGTTTTTTGCTATCCATACCCAAATAGATTGAGTCTCAACAATCACTCATTTTGAACCATTTTTTGCTATTTCACAGACAGAAACCTGAACACAGAAAACCATGTATCAACAATTACTAATACACCTATGTTTTTTGCTATCCATACCCAAATAGATTGAGTCTCAACAATCACACATTTTGAACCATTTTTTGCTATTTCACAGACAGAAACCTGAACACAGAAAACCATGTATCAACAATTACTGCTGTTCCAAAAAGACCTGATGACTCACAAATTGCTCATGGACCTCTGAGTCCCAAAAATAATACTCATCAATTACTGCTGATCTATGGATATCTAAAATCACTGCTGTCACAACCAACTATGTAATCACTAATTACTGCTGCCTTGAACCAGAGCACCCCCACTGCAGGGTTGCTATCACTCCCAAACTGCAGCACCCCCATTACAGGGATGCCATTATTTCAAAACAAAAGCAACCCCATTACAGTGTTGCTATTTATTACACAAACAAAACACCCCTATTACAGAGTCACAATTGATAAATTATTTTTTTGATGTCGTGGAGGTAATGTTCCAACGAGGAATGTTAAAGACTGGATGTTTGGAGTTTTAACTGAAGGTTTGTTGTTTGGCGTCGTTTTTTAACTGTTGTGAGGTGCGGTTAGAGGTTTGTACTACAGCCTTCTTACCAACAAAATCCCTTCCAAAAACTAAAATCCTCAACTGCCAAAATTGACTCATCTCCAAACACAAACCTTCACAAACCTGCTTCAAAATGGCCTCACCACAAATCCTACACTTTCACCCATCCACCAACACCAACACATTCTCATAACCTCCTAAACTGGAATGCAGCAAAAATCAGCTTCTGTCATGGCAACTGGACTGGTTCCTGGCTGTGGGCTTACCCAAGCAAGCCCAGGGGGGTTTTATCAGGGACCCCTGTCTAACCCATGGTCTTCAGACTGGGTACGTCCAGTCTGCAGAAGTTTATTGCTAGTCTGCACAAATTTTTATGCAGCATAATAAATTTTAAAAATAAGCAATGTTCAAAAAGTAGAAGAAGAGTTTACAGGTTTTCTGTTACCGTCAACTTTACTACACTACTTTTTACTTTCAACCGAAAAGAGTTATTTTGAAGTCTGGTTAAGAGAGTACGATTTTTATTTATATATCTTTTTTGTTCTGGTGAAACTTTTCTTGAAGCCTACCTTTCTAGTTTTTGAAGATATTCCATTGGATAGCTGGAGTATTAGGTCTTGCTGTTTGCAAAGAAAAGCAAAATCTCTTTAAATGCATGCCTTAAAGTCCTCCAAGCAAAAATTTTCTGAGTCTGCAAAAATTTTATGAACCTCTGTTGGTCTTCAGAAAATTCTTTTTTGGAAATTTGCTGGTTTATGAGCCCAAAAG